GTGCGTGCAGGTACACGCGTGCGTGCAGGTACACGCGTGCGTGCACGTACACGCGTGCGTGCAGGTACACGCGTGCGTGCACGTACACGCATGCGTGCGCATACACGCATGCGTGCGCATACACGCATGCGTGCGCATACACGCGTGCGTGCGCATACACGCGTGCGTGCACGTACACGCGTGCGTGCACATACACGCGTACCCGCACANAACCAATGTGCCTAACCCTAACCCTAATCCTAACCCTAACAATAACCTTAACCATAGCCCTAACCTATTATGTTGATATAATATTATATTTATATTGATGTAAATTACATTGGTTTTATTGACTCATGTTCTATATCCTTGAACCGATATATGTACCTCGGGTACATATCTGTATAGACCAATAAATTGTGCCCTAAAATTTTTTATATTTTGATGTTATTTTAGGGCCCAATACCCTTCCATAGACAAAACCTGTGAATTCTGTTGTGCAAAATGCAAGACAACCTTTTCACTATTTACGGTCGTGTTACATTGAAAATCAAAGAAATACCTAAAGCCGTCGCTTTGTTAACATCTTACCTACATTACAAAACACTTGTCATGCAGTATTCTCCTTTTTAATCACGTTTATTTTATTGAAATATTACGACATAAAAATCACGCAAACTTCACTACACACAAAACTGCCAATCTTGCATGGAACCGCACAACGACATTTTTCACCGGCCAATGAAATCATCGCTGTGACGCTGTCCGGTGTGGTTCAAGACACGCATGCGGTTTGTTTTATATTAACAAGGTAGGACAGCTGATCAATAATACCACAAAGAATCGTCAAAATAAAACGGGGAAAGTTTATTAATTCAACTAATTCTGCAACATAAAAATCACGCAAACTTCGCTACACACAAAACTGCCAATCTTGCATTGAACCGCACAACGACATTTCTCACCGGCCAATGAACTCATCATTGTGATGCTATCCGGTGTGGTTCAATGCAAGATTGGCAGTTTTGTGTGTAGCGAAGTTTGCTTGATTTTTATGTCATGATGTTTTAATAAAATAAATGTGATTCCGAGGGCGTAGGGCTGTGGGAGGGCGTATCCCCCTCCCACGCGTACGGGAGATTTTTTGAAAAATTCGTTGCATGACACAATGGCATTTCTCTGCACACTAAAAATTCTATACTTTAGGAGTAACTGTTATAATGACGCATAGTGGCATATGCTAATTCCCTGTATAACCCCCCTCCCTCGCTTTTTATTTTTTCACTCCGCATCCGCATCAACGTGGGACTCGACTGGCCCTGGCTGTATGGCGCCGGCAGGCTCTGAGCTTACACACGACCAGTTGGTGCGACCCTTAGCTAGACCAGTGAAAAATGGTGTACGAAGCCAGCTGTTTTTCAGGGATGGCAAGAAAAGAGTAAGCGACACAAGACAGCGATGCAAGCAATTTCTCAACGCGGGGATGGGTGTTTCCCTCCCACAGTAGGGTAAATTTTTTTGAAAATATGCGCATCAAAATGCATTTTTGCGGCATTTCATTTTTCCATTATTAGGTGTAGGTAATTAGTGGTATAGACCAATTCCCATTAATGGGCCTTCTCTCTTAATTTTTGTACTCTCCGATCAAGCAGGGGGTCATGGCCTCCTTGTGCCCCCCCCTTAGCTACGCCTATGTCGCTCATTCAAGCACTGACGAAATATTGGAACTTAGTTTGACTTTGTGTTTCGTGTAGCCAGTACCATTGCAATGTTGCATTTATCCGTCATGAACTGTTTCAAGTTCCGTCATATAAAAGTTAAAGTTAAATTACTTTTTTGAAAAAGTAGAGGCATACTTGATATGAAATCGGAAATAAGATTAGCGGGAAAAACAGGTAGATTGTGTCTGGAACTGCCACTGACATAAACATGGCAATTTATTTAAATTACAAAGATTTACATCTTTAGAATACAATAGCGTTAAAGATCACATTTACACTTTTGTTCGTTATCAAAAATGTTTTTGCTTTCCTCTGATGAAGACACTAAGAAACCATATTGGCAAATTTGAGTTTCAAATAAAAACAAAGGTAGCTGCCAAATAGGCGCTCTATTAAAATAAAAATAAAATTTACATGCGAAAGAATTGTTTTTTGCCTTTCCCCTGATAGGAGAAACAGTTACTTAAAAATAGGTGTTTGAAATCGATTTGCAAATAAAAACCCGAGCGCGGCCTGCATGGATGCCAAAATGGCGTCTATATAAGTTTCGAATTATATCACAAGTTATTCACAAAGCATTTCCATTTCTTTTCTTTTCTGTCAATAAGAGTTCAGTACCATAAATTCAAAATCAAAGCAAACTTTGCCCAACAACACAAATCTTGAGCAAAGGAAGATTATCTCCTTCGGTTTAGCTCATGTTTCTTGCTCTGCCTGCAGAAATTCTCAAAATCAGAAGTCAAGTCTTCTCGTCGATTTGCAGATTCGTTGACATTAATTGTCATTCACTAACTCCTGTTCAACGAAAGAAGAATGAGAGCCAGGAAGTCGTGGCTGGGGTCATTTGTAGACAAAGTTTTAGACTTGACAATGCTCATTTTAGGGAGAATTGTTCGTTCACCACATGCCAAAGTACAGGAATCTGTGGCCAGTCCTTCTGAAGGACTGCGTTGAGAGGCAATGGAAAAATTTTTGTTTTGTTTTGTGTTGCAATCACCAGGGGCGGCCAGCGGCCATGGCCCCCTTTGGTGCCCCTCTTAGACTACGCCAGTGCATGTCTGTATTGTATAACGTACATTGTATACGCAATTCGTGGTGCCCATCGTGTAAGAATTGTTGGTTAAGCACTGCTATAAGAATCGTGATAACATTGTATAAACAATTGATCGTATAACATGATATAACAATCATGGCTAACATTGCTAGTAATCGCACCAGTACACACCGCGTACACAAACTTTCTAGATAGGAAAACACGACTCGAGGGAAGAATTTGCAACCGTAATCCAACCTAATCACTTGCTCCGGCACCCGTCTCTAAATCCCACTCACTGATCCTCATCCGCATTCCCAACATCCTTCTCTTTCTCCCTGTTCTCCTTCTCGTTGCCGGCCGCCAGAACAAGAAACAGCGAACAACAAACAACAACAACCACACCAATAACA